GCATACTATGGACTCCGAATAAAGTGCGTTCCTATAGATCTTCCTGCCAATATGACCAAGTTGCGAAAGCAAGGTAAAACAACTACTATACTTCGAAAGGAGACAGCGACCAAAATAGAGGCCAAAACACTGGTTTTCGTATTTACTTCACATTTTGATGCTACATGGGCACCGAACCTATTAGTGTTTTTAAAAATTTAAATTAACGAGATGTTTATCATTTATATCAGTTTCTAGACATAGGACTATGATGCTAAAACATCATTAACATGTAAACATTTATAGAAAGATTGGATATAGTAACAGTAGGCATCAGCAGGCATCACTTTAGAGCAATACTAAAGAGATGGAATACGAGGAGCCTAGAGCAGAGATAGAATCTCATTAAAAGAACAAGGAAACAAATTTCAAGTTGATGGTAAATTCGCAAATTCCTCATATTCGAAAGAAACGGAATTTATTTAGGATGTTGAGCGAAGTAATTTGAATAAATAACCAAGGAAAATAATTTAGAGGCATAAATACTTTAAAACTTAACTGTATAATTTGTGATTATATTTTGGTCACATAAATATATCTAGAACAGAATACAAGATGTGTTGAAGAAGTAGATAGTATAAAGGAAGTTTAGATAAAACTAACCCATCATAGGCACCAGAGACTATCCGCTTAGAATCGAACCGGATGCAACGCACCAACTCCTCATGACCCTCGAGTACACGGAAGCAGACTCCCGTCTCAATATCCCAGATGCGAATCGTGTTATCTGAGCTGCCAGATACGACCAGGCGATCGCGGTACTGTAGACAAGCGATACCACGTCGATGGCCAGTCAGAGTCCGCACATTTGTGCAGGTATCAGTGGACCAAACCTATGATTCAGATGGTGAAGAAAGATCAGATTATAAAGGATAGAGATGGCAATTTATCACAGCAAATCCGTGTCTCAGTATCATATATAAATGAATTTAAGGATAGCTCATCGGTGTGAAGATGCCTGTCGTTTGACAAAAGCATATCAAGCTGTCCAAGAAGGTCCAGAAATGATGCGCCGATAATCCCTAAATCCACGAGGATTCGGCGCAAACAGATGATGGCGTCCCAGAGGATTCCAAGAGAATTAAAATTGTGTACGTAAAGTTGTATGGCATTCATAAATTGGCCGCAGCCGAAAGGAGATTGCTTTGAAATGACTGCTGTCGATTTTTCTGCAGACAGATATTGTCAAGGTGAGAACGAATGCTTTAGAAAACCTAGCCAAACATTAGGTCAAGAATGATG